TCAAATTTTCTGGAACCTGCAGCAATAGTTGCTGCAACATGTCATTTTGGCAGTGCTGCCGATCTGTTGTAATGGATCTACGGATCTTATTAACTTCGCTGGTGTCCACTTCCCCTGTTGCATTCTGGGCTATTATGTGGTCAGTGAGGGCTGCCGTGAGCTTAAGTGAATTTTGATGTTCAGAGTCAGCAATCTCCTCTGGATTAGTTAGTCCCATCCCTCCCAGTCTTGGTGGAAGTGCAAGAAGTGTTCTTTCTACTGGGGTTAAGTCGTGGTGTTTCACTAGTTTGGGAATGAACTTGACACTGATTGCTTCTTCCAAAGGGTGGAGGAGGGGTCGGATCTCAGGGATGGTACGCATCAGGTAGTTCCAACGATGCTTGACTCCATGTGTGAATGCTGCAAAGGCCGCATGTGGCTCTGTGTTAGCAATCTCCGATAGAGCATGGATTTCGCTAACCCACTCGTTCACCTTTCCCCCTACGTACTGGGTCTTGAAGTCCGTAGTGCCAATTACTGCGCCTAGATGTCTTTGGCCGTCCTTAGTTATTTTGACCTCACTTTCGCCGAAAACCTCCACAGCCCGATCATAATGATCTGGCTTCACGATGAGGAAGGATTTGCTGGCGTTTGGGTGGTACCCTATTTGTGGACCTCGCGATGTTACCAGGTCCCACCACTTTTTGATGTCCTCCACTTTTCCTGCTCCTGTGAGGTCATCAGCATATGCCACTTGTTTGACCCCAGTTGTTTCATACTTTATTTCTTGTTGGAGCACTGATAGGCCTATTGCATACATTGCCATTGCAACGGGGTCTCCCTGTGTTGTTCCCTCGGTCGACTGTAGGATGGTATCACCTCGTAGAGCCTTGTTGTTTACTACGTAGAGGTCTGAAGGATTCCTATACGAATTTTCAACATACATCGCAAAGCTAGGACACTTGATCTTGATGTTGTGCAGTGCCGCCTTGCGGTTAAGTATGTTGAATGCGTTTGAAGCATCCACCAGGAGAACGGCCTCACAATCACGCTGCTCAAATATCAATCTCATGGCGTGAATGGCCGCCTCCCCACCAGCCTGGTGGCCAGCACACACTTGTAGGTTCCCTGCTGCTGCCCTGACATCATCCTTTACCACCTCCATTATACACTTTCCGATGATCCGCCTCAGCACTTCCCCCACCCCTATAGGTCTACATCCTGGTTTCTTTTCCAGAGGAATAAGGCGGCAGGCCGTCAGAGCCTGGAGGTGATGGCAGCAAGAGGATGCAAGCTTTCTTGCAAGGGTGGCAATGGCAGTGCAGAGATCGCTTGCTACAGGGCCAAACTTGTTTGTGCTGAGGATGACTCTCCAACCGTTTGCATCCAGACCTGAAGGGCCGGCTCCGCCTCGAGTCTTCAGTGCCTTTTTCCACACCATCTCTCCTGTTATTTTCTCGAACAGGACAGCGTTTGGTGGGATATAAGCACCCTGGAGCCTGATGCCTTCATCTTCGCTTGCAGGGGGATGTTTCTCTTTCAATAGTTTTAATGTCGCTCTGTTTATTGGCATCACTCCACCGGAGGATTCATGTGTGAGAGATCTTACCGCGAGAGACACTTTTCCCACACGCATTTTGTTTCCAAATTGTCTTGCCACGTCATCGGTGTTTTGCTTTCCGTCACCCGTAGATTTTAGTCTCTCCTGCAGTGTTCTTGCTTCACATAGGAGATCATCTAGGGCCCCAGTCTGCCACATTGTCAACCTTCTCTTCATTGCTGCCACATTTTCTTTGTGCTTAGCCTTTGTGTGTGTCCTCTGACAAAATAGATGTGGTATTATTGCCAGTATTTGAAGAGCTAGGGGGGCGAGGAAGCGGTCCTGAGTGTAATCAGTCATGAAGTGAGTCATCTCCCGAATCATTTCTTTGGTGGCCGCACACTTGGGTGGTTCAAATAAGTTAGCGGGCGACCACTTGACAATTTCTGAGTAGGTTTCTTTGACCCATACGCCTGCATTTTCCATCGACATGCCATTCCACTGAGGCGGCTGTCTCTCATTCTCCTCGTGGACACCTGCTACTGAGGGAGCAGCATTTATTAGTACTACATTATCGGGTTGAGTAGACTCACTGCTATCATTTCGGATATCATCGGGTAGTTGGGTCCCGGCGATATCCACTGTGGCCGCCTGTGTCGGCTCCCTGCGACGTGGGTTCCGACACTGGTCTAGCTTCCTGCAATTCACACATGGTCGGTTATTTCTCGCACAAACACAATTTGTGCAGTTTTGGTTCGGGCTAGCACAGACGCAGCAAGGAATGTTACCAGGCATAGTGACCAGCACCTTGGGCGACGGTAACGTCCGCCTCCGGACATCTGATTTAGTCCCAGGCACAAGATTATACTGGTTCTTATGAGGGAAGGGCGGAGAGGTGACAGGCTGGACTGGTGTGTCCAGGTAGTAGGGGCATACGTGCGCGCGTGGGTGTGTAGGTTACCCCCCCTAATAGCGACCATCCATACATCAGAATGATACACTATGGACAAGAGTTTGTCACACCAGGCACTAGTTTATATTTCCTTGGCACAAATAACCACTATTTATATGGTCTCACTGGTGTAATATCAGTTATGTATACTCACTAGGTTCGTCGAGACCCTACATTAAGAGTCCGTTACTATGGTGGTGGGGGGGGTGGGGGCGACCGCATGGGCAGCACTCTCGGCCCCATAGGGGCGATAGTCTCGGGACCACCCCTGTCACAGTAGGCCTAACGACACTGACCTTGGCGCCGAGCCTTCTCATTATCCTACCACTGACCCAGCACAGGTCACCACTCACTTGGTGAACGCCGGTGAACACACGGAATATTTACAATTTATGCCGTAAGGGATGAGGAGAAACCTTGGGTGGCAATGCTTAGGGTGACATCCGATATTCACGGACACATTGTCAAATTCCCGCTCCCACACAACGAGTATGTCCCCACTAATAACACTTTAGATCAGGAGGGACGGTCCACGACACCCACGCCGCGCTACTACTACTACTACTACTACTACTAATAATAATAATAATAATAATAATAATAATAATAATAATAATAATAATAATAATTCATAGTAAAAACATTTTTTAAGAAAAAGTACGCGATTAAAAATAACATAACAAAATAATAATGATAACAATAATAATAAGAACACTGTACTACTGTAAGGGGAGGGGGGTATGAACAACAACTAGCTGCCACCATGCGAGGGCTTGGCACTCTTACAGCTTACGTTGATACTCTGACCTGGTAGCGTGACGTGAGAGGAAGGCCCATGGGTACATGTTTCTATAGTATCGAGTATTAGGGAGAGAACAACGGTGAATACTATAGATGAATCATAGACCCACATACAAATACAATGTTTATTAAACACAAAAATGGTTCCAGAAAAGACGTTGTATTCACCCAAAACAGGAACTCATGGTACCATGCCCTCAGCCTCAATTTACTTGCACCACTACTGGGTGTACCAACACCAAAACGCACATAACTCTTACAGCACCTTCGTACCAATAAAACCAGTGGCACCTGCCAGTACAACACTCAATACCCCAGGGGCAACACTCCAGCGGCTGCCATGGGAGTCTCATCACCAAGTGACACCTTCCAACAAACTCCGATAATTCCGGTGGACTAACACCACCACACCAACAGCCCCACCAAGTTATGAACTGTACTCATCCACCAATGATGGGGCTGGCAGTAGTTTGGGGCTTGAAGATCCGGGTTCACCACAGGGGCAGGGCGTTAGGGAAATACTACCCTCTATGGGGCCCATGGGAGTGGAGCTTCTGACGGTCGGGGTTTAAGGGGACACCCGACTCCACTGGACCTCAGACATCTCCCAAGACTAGTGGATGCGTCATCCACGCTACAGACACGGCCTAGGCTGCGTTAGGGACATGTGGGAGGAAAGTGTGGCGGCTCACTGATTTGAAAACCAACCGCTGCCTTCCAACCCCTCTAAAGTCACAGATTCCACCTACTCAACCATTTCACTGAATTACGTTACTGTAACACTCTGACGTTTGAAACTGATACTACGAACTCAGTTTCATACCCTACTATTATCTTTACCAACAATACTCTGACTGAGCTATCAAAAGCAAGAATTAAATTGATTACTAAAGGTTGGATGGCAACAGGTACCAACACGCAACGCCTTGCTACAACACCTGAGGCAGATTTTAAAAGTTCCCTTCAAAATATTAACTAATTCCTCAGCTAACCTCCCTACTACAATTTCACTATGATCAGTCTCTGATATTCATAGGTGAAAAAAAAGGTTTACAGGGTCTCGGTAGCAGAAAGAGTTTACAAAATTCCGTCAACAAACATACACTATCTTGATGACGTCATCAAAGAAACAGGGAGAACGGAGGACATTTCCACTGGGAGACTCAGAAGGTTTTGTGGACATGTAAGCGTAATATGGATCATTAGTTTAACAGGTTAGCCGTCATTACGATCATGACACTACTACTACTACTAATAATAATAATAATAATAATAATGATAATAAATGATCAAACGTGAGAAACAATATATGTGTGTTGTGTTAATAGTAAGAGAAACAATTGAGACCCTGCAATTGTGTAAATGAGGCAAAGTCAGGTGCTATATGGCAGTAGATCTACCATTAGACAACACATTATGCTTCCAATATCTTCCCAAGCGATAGTACCTCCCTGTTTGTGTGTGTGTGTGTGTGTGTGTGTGTGTGTGTGTGTGTGTGTGTGTGTGTGTGTGTGTGTGTGCGTGTGTGTGTGTGTGTGTGTGTGTGCGTGTGTGTGTGTGTGTGTGTGTGTGTGTGTGTGTGTGTGTGTGTGTGTGTGACACTAAACAGGGAAAGCTGCTGCTTAAGCCTTAAAAAACAAGTGTTGTTGTTGCCGAATAGGAATAATTTTTTTTTTGCTCTAAATCACAACAAATTCCTTTGTACACGTTATAATTTGATCTGTTTCATCAATTTCCTTATTTTTATTTATACAGCGTTAATGTTCCTATGTACTGAACAACGCCTAAGAGTTAACACATCTAGATATTGGTTACAAGAATTTCAACATGGACAAAATCGTCACCACAGTTACCGTCTACATAAAATGAACTGTCAAATACAGATGGAAGTTCAACATTCCTAGGACTGAATAACGCCGGCGATTATATGCTCCAGGCAGAGCAGACACAGGCTGGTAATGAATCCTGACCCGAGGATCACAAACATTCCCTGAAAAACGAAGAATAATTATAACATTAATCACTATATTTTTTTTGCGTTTGTTATAGCTAAGCTTCCATGTTATTCATATAAATATTTTGCCTAAATAAATGTACTCCCTGAGTGTGTGTGTATGTAGGCGTGTAAGGTAGAGAGAGGTAGAGTGTGTGTGTGTGTGTTTTACCCAAAGATTGCTGAGAGCGAGAGACGAGGTAACAGTGATCTTGTTGGGTTCATGATCACAGAGAGTAGATTTAGGGTCTTGCATCTTCAACCACTGGTAGAATAACCCAGCCTCAGTCATCTTCCTAATCCTGTACGGGGAGATGAGAAACATAATTGATAAGTTAAATTATTGTAATGAATTAACAATTTTCACAATGTGACGAATGAACTACTTTGTACAGCACCATCTTTCATTTCTAAGCAATATGTGGATATTTTTGTGTGGAGAAACTGAAGTAACAGAATATGTGTAATCTAATCTAAATACTTAATGGAAAATTAATATCACAGGTTCTTTTGCATTTTACTTATATTTAGCAAAAATAATTATACGATAGTCAACCAAGATTTTTACTGCTTAACTCAGCGAGCAAATACCTATTATTCAATTATATAAAAAAAAAAAAAAAATATATATATATATATATATATATATATATATATATATATATATATATTCTAATCGCTTTTCAGAAGTAATTCAAAGCGGCACCTCCTACTAATGGAAGGGACAAGTGGGCTGTCCTGTTGACCGATCATTGCAAACAAGTTGGGCTGCACCTCCTCTCTTGACGAGTAAAAAGAACACCTCCCTGTAACAAGAAGAATGTCAATTCTAATATCTCAAAGGGCAAACAGATCAATTAATGATTACTGAGATCATTACAACTACACATTAAGAGATAGATGGGTCATTTAATATTCGTATATGTTGAATGAGATAGACTGATTAATCATAATGGGTAATGGGTAATGGGTAATCCACTCTCACCTGTATTAAGCAACTTATATATGGAATTCTTTGAAAAGAAACTATTAAGTAATATTTTTCCACCTTCAGCAGTTTGGTTTAGATATGTACAGTAGATGATGTATTATGTCTCTGGCCAAGTAATGAGGACCTAAAAGCTTTCCTGCCACAACTTAATAACTTAGCCCCTCGATCAAATTCACTGTGGAATTAGAGCAAGACTGTAAATTGCCATTCCTAGACTGTCTGATACACAGAATAGGTAACACCTTTAAGTTCAGTATTTATAGAAAACCTACTAATGTGTGTTCATACATTCATTATGATTCTGCCCACCATAATAGAGTCAAACAGTCAGTATTTTCAACAATGTTTTTACGTGCTTTGAGAATTTGCAGCCCGGAATTCATTGATGAGAAATATAAATATATCTCTAATATTGGCTCAAACCTTAAATACCCTAGATCTTTCATAGACAAATGCTTAAACATTACTAAGAAAACTTTTTATAGAACTGACCCCAAGCCCACCCATGACCATAAGAATATCTTAATATTACCATTTCACAAAAATTTCTCACATTCCTGCACAGCTAAAAACCTGGAACGTCAATGTGGCATTTAAAAACTCATGCACTGTTAAACAAATGTTAATCAAGAACTCCCCCAACAACACAATTACTACCTGACCATTGTGGACCTGATCTCACCTCTCCTGTATATATACACCTTGTTTTGTACTTCTCCTTAGTCTGTACTCACCCCTGAAGATGTGAATTACACGAAAGCGCTTTGGAACTTCGTGTTTTGTTTTCCTTGTGTATTTAGCATATATATATATATATATATATATATATATATATATATATATATATATATATATATATATATATATATATACAATTAACACCTCAACCTGCCAGGATTCGAACCCACGGCCCACGAGCCCATGATTGTGACTGGGGAATGTTATTCTCTGGACCACCAGGATACTAAAAGCAGTCCTAGACTTTGTTATATTTCACACAAAAGCCTGTTTAACGAGCTATGGTGAACCTCTAATGGGGACTACCCGTATCACGTAGGTGGTCAGAGTAACGTTTATCAAATCCGGCTTGAAACACGAGATTCATATATTTCATCAGCCCAATATAGCAAGTGACTTCTACATACAATCAACACCTCAACCCGCTAGGATTCGAACTTATGTTACTTGTATATTAATTGTAATTATGTAATTGTATATTTTCAGCCTTCCTGCTGCCATGCTCTTTCAATAAACCGTTATTTAAAATTATTATTATTATTATTATTATTACACACACACACACACACACACATTGAACGTATATTATTATGTCTAAATCACATGTATGTTAGTAAATTTTCAGCCAACGGCTGCAACTCTATTAATGAACAGTTTATTTTTATCATTATTATTATTATTATTGTTGGTATTAATATTTTTATTGTTATTATTATTATTATTATTATTATTATTATTATTATTGCACACACACACACACACACACACACACACACACACACTGATAACTAAAATGGACGAAGACACAATGTCTTTGCCGATAAGTGAGTCTATACACAGTGTCTGTTCTCTAACATACGTTAAATTAAATTATATAATGCTCACATTGTAAAGACAATTAATTCCTTCATGAAACACTCAAGTCTAAATGTGGAACATGTATTCTCTAAAACTGATGTGAGAATCTCTTGGCAGCCCTGGTTGTAGTTGGTGTTTCCATTTCATAAATATAATTTTCTTCATTATTTAAGTAAATATACGAACACTTGGAAAAGTGGCATGAACTAAGATAACGATAAATTATAATTAAAATGCTACATTAGGATTGTCGATGCATCCTTGGCTGACTTTATAATGATATCGTTAAGTTGTTGTTTTTCCATGATATTATTAATATATCTTCTGTTTGGATACCTGTACGTGCAAAATCCTCAGCCATGTAGACTCGCACACCAACGTTCACCTCCATGAGGACGTGGTCACCCCTCCTCACTAGAGTATCGATGATCTGTGGGTAGTCTGCGGCTCTCCTGTATGTGATGCGACCTTCCTTTTCCAGATCATCGAGCCCGGTACTCGCCTGTATTTGCAGACTGGAAGGCAACACCCAGAGTTTAAAAACACATAAAAGAGCGAGAATAGTTTGAATCAAATTGTCACAATAATATTGACACGGTAACTACAGTTACCCGTTTCTATACTTTCCTGCGCCTTGTTTAATCTAGGAACTCAATTTCTTGCTGCTGTCTTTAAGGTGAATGGTACAGTTTGCTAAGTGTGAAATATATCATGTACTAGTCCATCTTCGCCATTCTAGAATATGACTATCTTACTCCGCTCCTGGTTCTTCTTACCCTATTCAAACAGAGGTTGCTTGTGAATCATCCAGCTGTTTCTTCAAGCGACAATATCCCGTCAAGACATTTCTCCAAACCCATTATACAGTCCCACACCCCTATACCCCTGAGGCGTTGCTATTCAAATCTCCTATTAACAAAGCAAACAACATTTCAATAAACTAGTTCAATAATAAGAACTTTACATTTACGCTGTCATTCCACCTCGACGTACATACAAATACCGCTTAATACTGGAGCCTGTTTGCCATATCATAGTGACTGATGAGTCGTCTAAGAAGTCACCGATGGTTTGGTATGGCTCAGGGATGTGTCTCACGGCCAAGAGGGCCATGAGGTTGCCGGCGTAGCTCCGTGTTAACACCAACGTCATCAACATCCACACCGCCAACACCACCCGCTCCCACCACCAGCCCTCTGGTACTATGATATCTGTGGGAAAGTGTGAATATTCAGCTAATGGCTTTATTGTACGATGAAATGATTTAAAAATTATATATTTTGCCCGCGGGAGAAATATATAAATATTTTTTTTTTCAGGTGGATAGAAAGCAGGAAGGAGATTTATCGATTTTTTTTTAATATAAGGAACATATATTTACCTTGCTGTAGGAAAACGCGTAGGAAGGCAAATGTCCTTTCAGCTTTCCTTGATCATTGGTATTGAGTGAGAAGGTTAAAGAGAGCAAGAACACAGTCGTAGGGAGCACCAGTAAGCCCGACAGGACAGCTACCCACACCAGAGGCGCCAACGGCAGGAGGAAGCTCCACGGATCCACCTCCGGACGCCCTCGCCCCCCCAACATTCTACTGTACTCTATCATTATTGGGACAGTGAAGTCTACCACCTCGGCACGATTACCGCTAACGCCAAAGGGACCAGCACCTATATCAACCTCCTATAAAAGAACATAAGTACACAAGAATGGAGGAAACTGCATTGGGCTTATTGGCCCATACTGGGCAGTCCCGTTTACACCCAACCCCTATTGCTCATATATCCATCCAACCTATGTTTGAAGCTATTCAGCGTATTAGAGTTAATGATGATTTGGTTTTGTAACTCGTTCCACTCATTCACTACTCTGTTTCCAAACCAATATTTACCTGTCTCGCGCCTAAATCTAAATTTGTCTACTTTAAAACCATTTATTACGAGTTCGCTCCAGATTGGATAGTTTAAGCCAACATTTAGTGAAACACTGTACATGTATCATCTACAAAGAAATTATGTATGGTAGTAATGTGTAGTAGGGCGATAATACACACAGACCTCTGAATTGCCAGCAATATACTTTACAGCGAATATAATTTGTCATGGATGGTTTGCCGTGCCCATGGTTTGCTGTGAATGAAAAGGGGTCCATGACAAGGACAGCTCTTTCAAGCGGTAAATATATTAGGGAGGAAGTCGCTACTCATATACAATGACATGGAACACTAATACCGTGTAAGAGTATGATGAAGATAAATAACCATCGAAAAATAGACTTCCAGTATTCATTATAATCAATGTAAATATAATATGATTATTAATATACAGGCATAGCGTTTTTTATCTTGTCAATATTCTCCAGGTAAAGGAGAGATCAGAGAACAAGAGGTGTAGAGGAAACGTTGATTTCTGAGGGTGAATCATTATGATCGCTCAAGATCCAAAATTAAAAAATGGATCAGTGAAACCACGTGTTAGGATCAGCTGAGGATCAAAACCTTTCTTTGCTCACTGAACCTTTTAACATTGAGGTCATATTTTGTTACTGGAAATATAAAAGTTCTGTGGCCTTTTGATAACGAGTTATATCACCATGACAATATTTTGAACCACAGCTTGTAAAATATATGATACTTATAAATCATTTAAGAATATAATACCTTGTAATGCATATTACGTATATAATGTTGATGTTGTTCTCTTTAATTTATATTGGATTTTGAAATAAAGTTTGGGTATTTCTGGATCACATTTACTTTCACTGTTTGTGTATAATTACTCGGTAGTGGAGACAGTACTAACTACCTGCTAGTATAGTGATCGACATAAAATAACACTTAATGTTTTACTAAATAAGTTAGTATGACTTCACTAATTTGATCTCTTGTCGTGTAGATGTGTTTATGATGATAATGAGTACAGCACTAGGGCGAGTCAATATTTCTACTCAAAGTACTTGAGTTTCATTTCCTTATCAGAATGTGCTTTCATAAAATGTCAAGTTAACTCTCGCAACAGAATATTTGTAATTAATGTGTTTTGATATCTTACAATAAGATTTTCGCCACCGGTGAATTATAAAGCACAATATGAAGCATATATATAAATATACCATACTAATGGCCACACTGAACTTACCTCCCTGCTCACCATACCCACCATGCCGGACCATGTTCCGTTATTGTACTTTATGCCCCAAGACCCGTCAGGAGGCCGCATGTATGTGTACCTGGGGAAGAGTACACGAAGGATGGGTAACAGTACCAAAGTACCAATGTATTGATAAACAGCCACATTTATTTGGTAACGTTTCGACAAATTTCTTGTCAACATCAGACCTAAAACATAAAGTAAAATACAATATGAAGACTAGAATACGATAAATGAATCACTAAGTCACTGAGAGAAAAGAAATACACTGAACAACAAATCATTGAGATATTAAATATTAACCTTTACTTCAGTTTAACCATTGAGATCAAAAGCAGTAAAATTAACAAAGGTGTAGATCCTATAGGGAGTATAGGTAAACAGACAAAAATACGAACATTTGTTATAACAATCAAGAATAAAACACACCGTGACAATTATGGTAACAGAAGTTATTCATCACATTGGAGTTGAGTAACAGTTGAGATAATCTGTTCTCCTGTTACTCATACTATATATTAATAGGAATATAAACAGTTTCATAAGTGGCAGCGAAAAGGACCGCGGATCCATATCTGAGATTAGTGTAATTTTGTTAATAAAAACTGAAAAAAAATGTTTCTGATTTTTTTTGTATAAGTACACGTGGATATATACCGTCGTGAGAAGTTTTCTGTTGAGTGATACTTATTTTGTCATCCAAGATGATGTACATTTTTTTTATCTATAACCATTACTGAATTATTGATAATTAATGATATTATGGCAACACTCCAGTGAGCTGAAGTGAACATTTGTTTCTGCAAATGATTCGCTCACTGTCACAGGACGTGACTATAGTTGTTGTGACTACTCATCAATCAACATCCTGTCAGCAACATTCCTTCGTATGGCGTGAATAATCCCCAGTTACCAGCGCCCCGGCACCCCCCTTAGTGATGACACTTGTATCTCCGACCATCAAGGTTGTAGAGATGGTGTCAGCATTCTGAAGTATGGTGTGGTGGATGCCCTAGTGTACTCAGTGAACCCCAGAGCCCTTGAGTTCACCGGCAGGGAGCAGTTTGCTGTACTCATGATTTTCGTGGACATTGACCCAGTCACCGGGACCTTCGTATCAACTGTGTCTCCTGTGAGTGACACATGCAAGTCTACGGAATATAAGGCAACATTTTCACATTCAAGAAATTCCAGGAACGATTCTTCGTGTCAATCCTTCGAGGAACAGGTATTTCATAGACATACAAGCAGATTATACACACATTGATATATTCTACAACATATCATCACTCTTTAGCCGCCGAGGTAGGTTATTTTTATTTTATAGGTGTCTTACTTATTTTGTATATTTACTGAAGTAATATATTCCCACTATTTTCAAACCTTCAACGTAGAAAATGCGGAAATCCTTTTATTTCCCAGGAAGGATAATAATGTTTAAACCGCAAATATGTCAGGATAATAATGTTAATAATGTTCAAACTGCAAATATATCAGGTTAATAATGATTTTAATGATGTTATCAGACGCATCTTTTCAATCTGCAAATATGACAGTTCTATATTATTGTTAATGTCATAGACACATCTTTTTAAACTACAAATATGACAGTTCTACAATGAAATTATCACAGACTGTAAATTTTCAGCCATTCCGTGGTAGAAACCCTCACAACTGTACCATTGCTCTCCGCAAAAGTGAATGTTTCTTCGAAGAATCTCAAGCACCACACACTCAATCATCCAGCATGATTATTTAGACGCAAGAATTGTACATTGCTAAGAAGGTGCATTCTTAAACACGAAATAGGCGAGATTTATTTCTGCTATGTTATTACGGGATTTGCTATACCCAAGTTAACAATTTCCACTGTTGTATTGATATTGGCAGTAAAATTTTTGTTTTGTGATTATATATCAGAATCTTCCAAATTTGCCATTGTACATAATATATTCTCCCATAAGGCATTTCTGACTAGGGATCTAGGGCTTGAGTAAATGTTCAACCACAGGTGTCAGCTTCCCCAGTTTAGTGTTTACACACATATGCGTGTAATATGTATAAGCTTTTTCTGTGAGATTAGTTTATTCCTCACGGAGTTCAGAAGGTGTGACCGAGCGACGTATTAGCCCCTGTCTTATAGAGAGACGTATTTATATAAATGTGGGTTAATTATATTAGACCTGTATAACTATCATCCCCTGTAACGTTCCACTAGCTACAAGGTTCATGTTCAGAGCACGTGATAAGGTGTGTCCACGGGAAGTCGCGTCACTTGGTGCTGAGCTAAGGATTAAGTAACCGGCTCTCTGGCCACCTGTTGCGGACAGTAGTTTGATAACCCTAACGAGAGGAAGATATTATTTAGAGCTACTATAAGATAGACTCCGTCTTTCCTCGAGGGAGGACGTCTGATATATTTCCATTCTCCCTCGAGGATCCCTACTCAAGATCACTCCCAGTTTCACATCAATCGGACGTATTTAATATAGCTAATCTAAGTTAGCCTCTGTCCTCATTTAACACTCATAGCTACAGTGATTAAGTTACGGTGATAATCCTTTTTGAAAGTGTACATAGAACTCTATTTATAAGAAACAAACAAAAGGAATATATTGGATTTCACGACAGAAGATCCAATAAACTTTGATCTATATTTTAGTATGTCTAGACTATAAGGTAGCCTGCTTCACAAGTGGTGACAACCCAGGAAAGTTGTTAGATATATGACAGCTTCACAAGCAGTTGCTATGCGACAAGAAACAGTCACCTTAACAGTTACACAGTTGGTAAAGGTAGAGAATATATTTTATTCTCCCCGTTACTGTGTTATACTGGCAAAGCGTAGCTTAAGAAAACCCAGTCAAGGACCAGTCTAAGGTGACCAGTCTACAGGACAAGTCTACAGTCTACAGTTTACAGTTACTCAAGTGTACTCCGAGTAACCGTGACAATTTTGGTAACAGAAGTTATTCGTCACTTTGGAGTTGAGTAACAGTCGAGGTAATCGTATCTCCTGTTCCTGTGTTAGAGACTACTTAGAAGTATACTGTTTTATATAAAGAAATTAAATTTTCCATAGAATTCCAGAATCAACGAGCGACGGAAAATTTAGAAGTAATGACATTGTCTGGACTTTGTTTTGAGAATGGCTGATGCTAGGTAAACATGACAACATAGTGCTGTTATTGTTTTGATGATTCACTGATGAACCACTGGGATTTATCATCATTTATATTAATTAATGGGTAAAATTTTACTTTAACTACCATAAGTATTTGGATGTTTAGATTCGAGATAGGTTATATTGGGTAGATTTTAAGTTTTGGTCATCCCTGTACTTAGACATGCAGCAAATTTACTTCTGTCAACTTACGAGAAATTTAGCCCGGTAGCAAGGTAGTCTATTAGCTCTGGCACGGGACCTGAGAACCTGACCCGATGTCCCTCAGGGGCTTCTCTGTCCTCTTCTATAATCATTTTATTGAAAGGGTTTCCCTCCGTCGCCACAACCAGATTTGGACGGTTCATCAATCTGAGAAAAACAATGGAAGTAGATTATTATCCTATTCTCCTATTTGTTCCTTGAAAGTTGTATATTCATCTAAAGTCTTCAGACACGTCTACTATAAACTACTAGAGCCGAACAACGATTCCAGCTTATACAATTCTTTCTAAATAGTTTTCAGATATTATTATTGTTATCCCATATTTATGAACGCGTTTGTAAAAGCCCTCACTTGGTGAACTTGTCAGGAAAAAGTAGGAGGTGAGTTGTGAGAGCCAGGCCTCGTTGAGGGGTCCAGGAAGCAATCCTCGTTGCCGGAGCTCCCTGATGACTGTACGGCAGGTATATATACACATCACACCTGTAACAGAAGAGAATGATTAACATGCATGGACCTACTTTTTCTACTCTCGGTCTTGAGTTGTATTATAATTCAGTAAATTCCAAATATAAAAGATCATTCATTATTTGCGACTGTAACAAATTCGAAAGATAATAAACCTCATATTACTTAATGTGTTCTTGAACGTTCTCTACGATGAGCATCATTGCGTTCCTCGTAGAAAAGGTCTTGTGTAGGTGGTGGAGCTTAGGGAGAGGCAGGCTGGTTACGGCGAGGAGCCTCGTCGACCACACCAGGAGGCGGCCCTTGAGGGACCACTCGGCGAAGGCGGCGAGGAAGGCTGGGTCGTCGCTCACCACCACCACCGTCACGCACCATGACACCTGCCGCAGCTGTTGACGTCAATTGTAATACGAGAATGATTTCCTTGCATCAGAAGTAATATTAGAGCGCTCTTTCTCCGCGGTATTCTGATTATGAATTAATCACCTATGTAGTAATGTGGTAAATACCTATTTCATTGGAAATAATATACCAAAGACATGGTCGTTTCCTGGCAATTTGACTTTACTTACTGTACGCAACAAGCCGAGTACTCTGGTAATTTCTGCTTCCATGTCTTTAACATCTTGGTTGTCCGATGCCACCTCGAACATTCCTATACCCCAGGGAGCACGTACCACGTCCATAAACTATAATACAAAATTATATATATGTATATAGATATATATATATATATATATATATATATATATATATGCTGATAAGGAAAGAAGAAAACACGAAGTTCCCCAAGCGCTTTCGTGTAATTCACATCTTCAGGTGACAACAGACAGCGCTTGGGAACTTCGTGTTCTTCTTTCCTTGTGTTATCAGCATATACTTTCACGCGCACCTACAGTGATTTACTTGCATATATATATATATATATATATATATATATATATATATATATATATATATATATATATATATATATATATATATATATATATATATATATATTGTTACGAACCACGCCACCAATTGTCATGATCTACCTACCCACATCACTGATCTACCCAGCACCACGAGCAACGCCATCTAGGGACGAAACACGAGTATGACTACTCTTAGTTACCACTCCGGGGTTTCCCTTCTCCATATCCTGGTTGTTGCGTCACCTCCTCAAAGTCTTCTTCGTCAGCTCGAGTTCGAGGAGAGTTCAGTTCACTCTGGGAAGTGACCACAGGATCACCTATCCTGGAAACCTACGGCACAGTGACTACCTACCGTCTTCTACAATACTCAGCCTTACTCGTCAGCCATCTCAGCTCCGCACTTAAGTATTTGTAATCTTATATTGCCTCCCCACGTCCACTTGCTTCAAAATTGTTGTATGTTGTATAAATATGTATATACTGTTAATGTTTAGGTTAAGTATGGTTAAGGGTAAATTATAGAAAGCTGAATATTTTGTTAAGGAATTTATGGTACTTTATTATACACAACAAAAACTCGCATCCTTTGTCTACCCTTTTATAGTCCGATTGTCTTTGTTTTTTTGTTGTTGTTGCCTGTTGGGATCTGGGTAGATATTCTAAATCCCCAACTCGTAACATATATATATATATATATATATATATATATATATATATATATATATATATATATATATATATATATATATATATATATATATATATATATATATATATATATATATAAGGCTTAATCGGTAATTATGCCTACATAGTATAAGGGAACTCAGTACAATTATCAAGAAGAAACACTGAACCCACTACGGTTCACAGGATAAAAAAGTATTTAGCCGTTTCGTTTATTGAAACTTTAATCCGTCCGTTAGCCTGCTATACTATATTTCAAAGTCAATATTATACGTATTTCTTAAGCTATGATTGTTTAAATAGACATGTAACAGCCTCAACATACCCTAATAATATTACTGGGTGAGGATCTGCCGTCTGTAAGGAGGAACATGGAGCAGTGGGGCTTTGTCACCTTTGCCAACACAGCGTCAACTCCTTCCGTGGCTGCAGATATCGCATCATCCTTGTCTGCCAGTAATGAAAGTGTGGTCTAGTACAGAATACTACATAAAGTAGTTGTGAGGAATCGTATTTTGCGTGTTTTAGAAGGTGATAGGGAGGTAGGAGAGTACTTTGTCATGTCTCTAACAGACCTCAACTAAAATATATAATGAAAAACATACATATAATTAGTGCTTAGCCATTTATCTTGGTTCGATCCTTCCATAATGATAACACACCAGGATCCAATAACGCAACGGCTGAATTACTTAAGCATGGAGGAGAATATCTGGAGTATAAAATCTATACATTTATTAAGATGGTATGGGAAAAGGAAGACATCTTTGACACGTTGCACAAAGGCAATATAATTCCCAATTATAAAACGGGGAGGTAAAACATGCGGTGTCCACGTATAGAAAGATCTTGTTGGTATTTACAGGGCATAAAATCCTCACAAGAATTATTTTAGGGGAACTGGAAGGTGTGTTCAGACAGGACATATCACCCAAATGACCAGCTGTTCATAGTACGCCAACTCTCAGAAAAGTACTGGGAATCTTCACACTTTGTAGAATTCAAATAAACCCACGAGAAAAGAACAGCTACGGAGTGTGGATTATAATGGAGGAATTTGTTATCCAAGAAAAGTTATATACATGTTAACATTATACTTTTTAAATATAAACAATTTGTGTCCATAATGGGAGAAGAAATTTAACAGTTCGGGGTAATAAGTGGACTAAATCAGGCCTGTCTTTTACCACTCGTACTTTTCAACATTGTATTGGAACAAGTAATTCGCAGCATTAATAGCATCCAAAAAGGAATCCATCTTCGGAAGGTTAAAATTAGAAATTGGGCTTAAGAGATGATGTCGTCCTTGCTGCACAGGATATCCATAAATATAAGTGTTTCAAACACTGTTTTTATTGAACCTATCAAACTGTACATTAAATGGAGTAAATTTGAATTCACTGGAGAATATTATGCTAAAATATTTGGCATGGCGATGGGTAATCCGCTTTCACCAGTGTTGAGCAAGTTATATATATATATATATATATATATATATATATATATATATATATATATATATATATATATATATATATATATATATATAAGGAATTTTTTTAGAATAAATTACTAAGTAATATTTTAATATATTCTGTAGTTTGGTTTAGATATGTAGATGATGAAATACGACTTTGGCCATGAATCCAGTGCATTGATCATTCATATGAGAGATAATTAGCGTTGCTTTGACCTGAATATGGTGACACCTGCTGTGAGATTAATCTCACTCACCTTACTGTACTCAACCCAGAAGGAGTAAATTACACGAAAACTCTTAGAAACTTCGTTGTTTTCTTTTCCCTTTGTGGATATCAGCACATACATGGATCACGCGCACCTACAGTGTACTCCTGGGTTATTGGGTAAGTGACCTCGAAGTTCAGACTCGTGAATCAGAAGCATTTAGGACAGAATGATGCACCAGTGTTTATTGCTTTGTGTTCAGGGGTCTGACTCTCGGGGTCCGTAGAACAGCAGGAGAGAAGGGGGACGGGTCAACCGTGTCAACCATGTCATCTTAGGGATGCACATACATATTTTACAACTTCACTCCAAAATGTTTGCCCTGACAGTTTTCTGAACTTGTGGCTTCTTCAACCTCAAGCTGTGGCCTCTAGTGGGGCGGCATCTGCCAGCTCCTGGTATGTTCTTTGAGGCAATTGCAGACATTCTAAAATCTCAGGGTATCTGAAGTGCCATAGCACAGAAACCAGTCTGGTGGCCTTTATTTTTTTATTTATGATTTCAACACTTATGAGCTTGTTAATCATTTCGGCGGTTGGTCTATCCAGTGTTGAATACACGAGGAAGCCGGAGTTTTTTTTTAACTATTTCATTGCTGGAAAAATAATTCTTGTGTTGTTAAAACAATTATAACTTTTGTTAGCCCCAGAAAGAGGATGGCATAGGTGAGGGTGGGAGTTGTACACTACCCTGTCCTTTTGATGTAATAGTTTGTTTGTTTTTTGTTCATAAAATATTTCAGTTTAAAAAAAACACACAAGACAGGTGACATGGCTTTTGTAGGTGACTGTACCTCAAGTGGGGCGCTAAACCACCTCGTCTACAAGTAGTCTAAAGTTTCGCTAGATCTAGCGCAAAAAAAAAAAATAATGGCAGCATTGGAAGCCTTTCCTTTAAGCCACAAGAGCTCTAGTCGTTTCCAAGTCCAATGTGATTCATGTTCTTTTACATCGTAAACCCGCTCATTCAAGATTACTGAATGCTCTTTGATGATAATAATAATAATAATAATAATAATAATAATAATAATAATAAAACAATAATAATAATAACAAAGATAATAACAATAATAATAATAATAATAATAATAATAATAATAATAATAGTAATAATAATAATAATAATAATAACAATGGAATGTGAATCATTATATATTACTGACTAAACGTTGTATACTAGAGTCTGAAGAAAAAATATATATGTTTACTTAATTCATACCTGGTTTACTGTGCTACTATTTCATTCACTACTGATGTTAAGGTATATAGTTTACCAGTATCAAACCATTGTATTAGTGTTTACATTATTTAAAAAGCAATCTAATCATCTAAATATTTTATATTTTTCTGGTAGTCCTCTTACCAACAGATGGAAGTAGACAAGAATCAGTCAAGAAGACAGTGACAACTAGGAAAATTAGCCCAGTCATCACAGCAGTCACCTTGTCTCCTGGATACATCTGAAATATAAAACCTTGTAGAGCACCAATAACACCTGCAGCTTATTCTTCAAAATTATCTTATAGACCCAGCTAATGTCTATTGTCCATGGAATACTCTTTAACGAGGGCCATGTGCTTATCCGAGTCGTGATGCTGTTAACAACTAACAACATGATTAGCGTGTATATTAAGTAAGGCTCGCCTAATTTGAATATATCAGTAGTTCTCAATCGTTCTCGCTTCCTTTCCCACCTCCTTTAGGGAACTCCCAATATTCCTGTGGATCGACCTCATTTTCCCCTAAAACTTTAAATTTAATGATATATAAATGTCTTATCAGGAGAGGAAGTGAACATGTATTTATCACTTCGTCCCCTATGAAGGTCAAAAGCATAACAATCAATAACTGTATAACTATAAAACTATAGCTAACTGGAGAATAAAATATACAATAACCATTATCACTAATATTAACATTTGAAGTCATCTTGTGAGTGATTTTAAAGTCAAATGCAGAGTCAAATTGAAAAAAAAAAGTCAAAGTCTACTTGGTCAAGTTGAAATTAATAATAAAACTTCATTTATTTCACAAATCCCAGATACTCTTGAAAATTTTCCAACTCTACTGTACATAACCTCCGTGGACCCCCTGAAATACTGACGTGGACCTCTGGGGGTCTATAGACCCCAGTTTTGAAAAAAATTAATAATTTGAAGTCTTTTTTTTACATTTTCTGCATGAAACGAGTTGGGTGAATATCATACAGTTTGTAATATAACTTCTATTCAGTCATTTTCCATTTAATAAGGCTGGGTGCTACTCATTCCACTGACACCATATGGGAAAGAGGAATGTCAGAGTTGTCGGGTGATGTGAGTATACACAGATAGATCAGTTTTCTTAATTTTATTTTAGGCGATACCAGTTGCTGAATAGCTGTACACAAACATTGATGAAATAAATCTATGCATTAATGATTCCTTTAAGAAGGCTACGAGTGTCACATTATGGTTAAACCTTTAAATTATGTCTTAATCTATTTTTCTTAAGAGTAACATGCAGTTCTATGGTAGTATATATATTACATGAAGGATTGGCTTTAAACTGTTGTGTTTACAGTTGCCCGAATGTTAAATCATTGCATACAATAATTTTCACGCTGGTGGATAGCTGTTAAACATCCGGCGTGTGATAGACATGGTAGTTTTTCTGATATGTTTTTATCTGATAATATTGGACATCTCTGGTGTTGTGTTCCCCAATGTCTTTTGTCAATTAATTGTAATCTCAGGGATCGTTACCATTATCAAGTACTGATGGGTATCTTTATTGTCTGTATGAAATCAAACAGAAATTATTTTATTACGTGCCAAATGGTTTTCATACAGATCACAAAAACAAATATTATTCTCTTTGGTTACAGAAACACATTCTCTCTCTCAGTGTTCCTCTACGTGTCTGGTCAGTTTCAAATGTTAGGTGAATCTTCATTGATCAACTGATATTATATTATTTCGCAAAACGATAATCAAATGTAGGCAAACTACTTTGTCTGAAAACATGTAGATTCATATACTCAGAACAAGAAGATGAACGGTGATCAAGTATTGTCTGGATATTGAAGGGATGAACCCCCAACCAATAACTCGAGTATAGGGGGCGATCATTATCCACCGGTGACGCGAGAAGCGGAGGCATTATCTCAGTAGAGGTCAATGTGCCCAAGTTGCATCGTTTTTTGTAAGTTGACCGTCTAATGCGAGATTTTGTGTTGATGCTGCCTTCCTGTTCCCAGCGGTGTATCCACCTGTACACGGTAGAAGCACTTGTACCAGTAGTTTGGGCAATGGCGCGAGCAGAGGTGCCGTCTACCCACAGTCGGATAATTCTTGCTCGTTCATTTAAAGCTGTTTGTCTCATCCTGTGTCGCCTCCCCATTATTCCTCTGTAAATGTGGACGCAGAGTATTGTGAACGAAACATTGTAGATCTGGAGGCGCGAAGTAGATTGTGGCGCCAATAACATTATGTGCAAAATATAATATTATTTTTATTATACTCTTATCTGTTTTTAGAAACAAGAAGTTAGAAGGTATTTAAAATCAATGGTATGCACAAATCTTTAGTTTCATTAAATTTCAGAGCCCATTTACAATATTAAGACTTTATTTACAATATAATTTAAAGAAAATTTGTTATTATTACAACTAAGAATACTTACTAATAATGTTTATAAGAGGAAGAGTATTGCTAATATTTTATGTAACAATGAAAATATAATTCACGATTCTTTACTTGATTGTACACAACTCTCTTTGTGTTACAAAGTGATGCGTCCTGTTTTTAGTATTACAATGATTCGAACATTGAACCTCTACCGTTAATGGTGGACCGTTCATGTAACAGAACGCAGGGGACAAAATTATCGCTGATTTATTTTGGGAAGCTTTGAGTTAAATGGCTTCCATAATGCGATAGATTTGTAAACAGGGCATAAAATAAAAAAATTACGTCAAGTTTAGTAGATGTTAGACGACTGAGAAACAGGGCTCAAGATAAGCAATTTACTTGACTACAGTAGTGTTACATATAACAACCCAGGGGTCAGTACTAGGCCCACTCTTGTTCATAATCTACATAAACGATTTAGATACTGGGATCAGCAGTGACATAAGCAAGTTTGCGGATGACACCAAAATAGGGCGGCTAATTAATTCAGGGCAGGATGCAAATGCATTACAGGAGGATCTAAATAAACTGCAGGAGTGGTCTGAAAAATGGCAAATGAAATTCAACACCAGCAAGTGCAGCGTACTTAATATTTGAAGAACAAATATTTATAATGTATACAGCCTTAACAACATCAACCTAGAGAAGTCGACTTGTGAAAGAGACTTAGGGGTACTTGTAAGCCCGGACCTACGGCCTAGAAAACAGTGCGTTAATGTTCGAAATAAGGCAAACAGAGTATTGGGTTTTATATCTAGAAGTGTAAGTAACAAGAGTGCAGAGGTCTTATTGCAACTATATCTTGCGCTAGTCAGGCCGCACCTCGATTATGCGGTTCAGTTCTGGTGCCCCTATTATAGAATGGATATAAATTCACTAGAGTCGGTGCAGCGGAGAATGACGAAAATGATTCCGGGACTTAGAAACCTTCCATATCAGGATAGGTTAATGAAACTTAACTTGCATTCCCTAGAAAGACGAAGAGTGCGGGGAGATATGATAGAAGTATTTAAGTGGGTGAAAGGAATCAATAAAGGGGATATAGATAAAGTTCTTATAATATCCGAGCAGGATAGGACTCGGAGCAACGGATTCAAGTTAGATAAGTTTAGGTTTAGGAGGGAGATAGGAAGAAACTGGTTCACAAATAGGGTGGTGGACGAGTGGAACAAGCTTAGCAACTTTGTAGTAAGTGCGGGAACTCTGGAAAGTTTCAAAAGGAGGCTAGATAGATTCATGGATGACAGAGAGTGGTAGTAACTCTCGACAGGAGCTGCCATGCACAGGCCAACCGGCCTATTGCAGACTCCTTATTTTCTTATGTTCTTATGTTCTTAAGCCTTACCGTATTTTCACTATTGACATAACTGTAGAGACACAGACGCTGCAATAGCAAATGAGATAACTGCCTTGTTTAGCTTAAAAAAATACGTATATTTAATCAAATCATTATGTAGAGACAACGAACGAACGAGTTTTGTAAACCACATTCCTTTTAGTTCATTAAAGTTTGCAGGAAATATAAGATATCCGTTCCATGAAAATACAGTTTAGTAACATTAAAGTTTATTTGAGTACCTAAATAATGTTAAAGGGAAATATCAAGTACACATGAATAATAATAATAATAATAATAATAATAATAATAATAATAATAATAATAATAATAATAGTAATAATAATAATAATAATAATAATAATAATAATAATAATAATAATAATAATAGTAATAATAATAATAATAATAATAATAATAATAATAATAATAATAATAATAATAATAATAATAATAATAGTAATAATAATAATAATAATAATAATAATAATAATAATAATAATAATAATAATAGTAATAATAATAATAATAATAATAATAATAATAATAATAATAATAATAATAATAATAAT